ATCAATTCTCACTCCAAGGTCCCAAGCTAAGCTCGTACTAGGAGTCCTCTTCAGTACGGTTGCCATCCTAAATCTAGCGGGATCTGAAATCGTTTGCTCTATCACAGCGGTAGCGTTCTTTCTAGCACCACCGACCGAGCCCTCGTCGACTGTCGTCTCCTCCACGTCTCCACGACGTCTCCAGCAAATGCTCTTTTGCCGCCGGTCTGCTGCTGGTGGCCTTTCCGCTTACTTTAATATAAGGTGCTGTTAGCTTCTGCGTTGTGCCTTTTTCGTGTCCCTTTGGTAGTGGCCATGAACTGGCGGTCTCCGTCGTTGTTATCCCCAGTATCAGCATTGTTTGGAACAAACAGAGGATCGACATCATTACCGGCGATATTATCATCTTCTACCACCAGTATGGTAGAGCCTTCTACGTTGTTGCTGGAGGAGGATGCAGAGTACTTGTCTCTGTTCCTCTGCCGAAGGCTCTTCACTGCTGCTGAAGAATCAGATGATGTGAAAAGGTTGGCAAAGACATCATCCCCAAGAATGAGAGAAGCGGTCTGTCGTGCCGCCGCAGCTTCCTCATCCTCTTTTGTAATATCCTCATTAAAGAGTGGTGCTGAAGCTGCTTCAAATACCGACTCCATCTCTTGTTGCCACCACAACGCTCGCTCTCGCTACTGCTGTAGCTGGTTACCTCGTGATGTTGGTGGTGGTGATGGACTGAGCTATGTAATGAGGATAGTCATGAGCAGTCGATCGGTAACAAGACGGAGCGAGCCGAAAGAGTAGAAAAAAGAAGAAGAGCAATTACTGAGGAGAATCGATGATGAAGAAGGGGACAAGAAGAATCAGGAAGAAAAAGAACTGTCAAATTGGTTGGTGGAAGTTGAGTTCAGTGGTCAAAAATACTCATCTTTACTCTTCCCGTGAGTAAATTTACTCTGGGCAAGAGTAAACTGTACTATGAGTATACTCATACATGTTTTCGCAGGCAGTACTCAAATACATGAGTTAACTCATCCTCT